CCTTGGCAGTGGCCTGGCGATGATTTCTTGAATGTGACACTAAAAGCACGGGTAACAAGAACAAAAATAGACAAATGGGACTACCTCAGACTTTAAAATTTCTGCACAGTGAAGCAAATAATCAATAGAATGAAAAGGCAACCTACAGAATGGAAGGAAATATTTGCAAACCACATATCCGATGAGGGGTTCATATCCAAAATATATAAGAAAATTCCTACAACTCAACAAGAATGAAACAAACAGTCCAGTTTTAAAACGGGCAACTGGGGCGCCTGGGTGACTCAGTGGGTTAAAGCCTCTGCCTTCAGCTCGGGTCATGATCCCAGGGTTCTGGGATCGAGCCCCACATCGGGCGCTCTGCTCGGCAGGAAGTCTGCTTCTCCCTCTCTCTGCCTGCCTCTCTGCCTACTTGTGATCTCTATCGAACAAATAAATAAAATCTTTAAAAAAATAAAAATAAAAAATAAATTAAAATGGGCAAAGGAGGGTGCCTGGGTGGCTCAGTTGGTTAAACACCTACCTTCAGCTCAGGTCATGATCCCGGAATCCCGTGATCAAGTCCTGCATTGGGCTCCCAGCTCCACGGGAGTTTGCTTCTACCCCTGACCTCCTCCCCTCTCATGCCCTCTCTCACTCTCTCTCAAATAAATAAATAAATAAATAAAATCTTAAAAAAAAAAACTGGACAAAGGACTTGAATAGACATTTCTCCAAAGAAGATACACAAACAACCACTGAGCACACAAAAAGATGCTCAACATCACTAATTATCGGAAAAACACAAATCCAGTTCACGAGTTATCACCTCACACCTGTTAAAATGGCTATCATAAGAAACACAGACAATAACAAGTGTTGGCAAAGATAAGGAGAAAAGGAAGCGCTCGTGCACTGTTGGTGGGAATGCACAGTGGTGCAGCCACAGTGGAAAATAATATGGAACTTCCTCGAAGAATTAAAAATAGTTTCTACCTTATGATCCAGCAATCCCACCTGTGGGTCTATAGCCAAAGGAAATGTTATCGTTTCAGAAGTATCTGCAGTCCCACGTCTATTGTAGCCTTATTCATAATAGCAAAGTTATGGAAACAACTAAATGTCTGTTGGTGATTGAATGACTAAGGAAAATGTGGTATAAATAGGGGTGCCTGGTGGGCTCAGTTGGTAGAGCATGCAACTCTTATCTTGGGGTCATGAGTTCATGCCTCACTTGGGGTGTAGAACCTACTTAAAAAAGTAAATAAAAACATATGCACAATTTTTCTTTGAAAAAAAAAAAAATGTGGCAGGACACCTGGGTGCCTCAGTCAGTTAAGTGTCTGACTCTTGACGTTGGCTTGGGTCATGGTCTCAAGGTCATGGTCCTGTTCTGTGCTCAGCTGGGATTCTGCTTGTCCCTCACTCTCTGCTCCTCCCTCCACTTGTTCTCTCTGTCTCTCAAATAAATAAATACTTAAAAAAAAAAAGAAGGAAAATGTCTTATATAGAGAGAATGGAATATTATTTAGCCTTATAAAAGAAGGAAGTTCAGGCATTTCTAACAACATGGATGAACCTAGAGGACATTACACTAAATGAAGTAAGAAAGACACACGATCTCACTTATATATGGAATCTAAAATAGGCAAACTCATAGAGGCAGAGAGTAGGATGGTGGTTTCTAAGGGTTGTGGAGGGGGAAAGGGTGAGGTTGTTCAAGGAGCACAAAGTTTCAGTTATGCCAGATGATTAAGTTCTGGGGATCTAATAATGTACAGCTATGTGAATATAGATAGCAATACTGTATAGTGTACTTGAAATTTGCTAAGAGGGTAGATCTTAAGTGACCTCACCATCAAGGAAGAAAGAAAGAAAGAAAGACAAACTATGTGAGGTGAGGCATATGTTAATTAGCTTGGTTGTGATGACTATTTCACAGCATATAAATGCATCAAAGTGTCACGCCATATACCTCAAATATATATATAATTTTTATTTCTCAATTAACCTCAATACAGAGAAAAGACACACAGAAAAACGGATCATGGTGGATATTAAATACCTATGGCATTTTGCTGTCATTAGGTCAATTTTAAAATTGTGTATGTGGTTTTAAAATCATCTTAGTGGATGCTAGAACAAAACTATTGTTACTTTCTGCCTCTGCTCTGGAGACCTGGAGCTACCAGCTTCCCCTCTGGGCAGATGTTAGGAGGGTTTCCTAATCTCACAGGGAATCCACATTTCAGGCACCGCCTTTGTCTCCACCGCCTTTTCTGGCAGTGGAGGGCTGCTGTGCTCATCTGGGAGGAGGCTTCCTCATTGCTTTCCAGAACATTCCATTGCAGGCTTCTTTATGTTAATCTCTACCTATGGCTGCTACTCTATTTCACTGTCAGAAATCCAACTCTAAATCCCAGCTTTGTAACAATAAAACTATAGTCCATCATGATGTAAACTGCATGAGACCAGAGCCACATCTGCTAGGCTCACTGCCATGTCCTCAGCACAAGGTCTGGAACATGGTGGACGCACACTAAGTTATTAAATTGAATTAAGAGGGGCAGCTGATTTTGTAGGGAAGTTTTTTTTTTTTTTAATTTGCTTATTTAAGTAATCTCTACTGGGGCTCCAACTCAGGACCCCAAGATCAAGAGTTGCACGCTCCACTGACTGAGCCAGCCAGGTGTCCCAGAACTTGTTATTTTGGATGAACAGACTTGGAGATTTGGGCTGATAATTCAGGTAAAACCCAGGAGTAAGTCTAACTCATTTGGGGTGCCTGGATGGCTCAGTAGGTTAGGTGTCTGGCTTGTGATTTTGGTTCGGGTCACGATCAGGTCAAACTCCTGGTCGGGTTTTGCGCTCAGCTTGGAGTCTACTTCAGATTCTCCCTCCCACTCGTGTAGCACCCTCTCTCTCTCTCTCTTTCTCTCAAATAAATAAATAAATAAATAAAATCTTTATTATTTTTTTAAATAAAAACTTTAAAAAAAAGAGTAACTCTAATTCTTCTTCTTGGTGGGGGGGGGGCAGGGTAGTCTTCCTGTGATTTGAAGGCATCTAAATATATCTCTTTTTTCACATCTGCCCGAAATAATTCTTCCTAAAGAGGAGGCAAGCTCTTCCAGAGACTTGAGTGTTTTTTTTTTTTAAATATTTTACTTATTTTTATTTGATAGAGACACAGCGAGAGAGGGAACACAAGCAGGGGAGTGGGACAGGGAGAAGCAGGCTTCCCGCCAAGCAGGGAACTCGATGCAGGGCTTGATCTCAGGACCCTGGGATCATGACCTGAGCCAAAGGCAGACGCTTAATGACTGAGCCACCCAGTGCCCTAAGACTTGAGGTTTGGTTCCAGTTCTTTAGCTACTGTATCTCCACAGGTTACTTACCCTCTTTTTTCACCAGTTAAAAGGGGGATAAAACTCTACAGCCTGTTGTGAGGAGATAATGCATGGAAGAGTGCGGGAACGAATACAGTTGCAGAGTGGGCATTCAGGAAATGGTAGCTTGGAGGTAAGTTTCCGCTGTTATTGTTACTTGGAGGTAAGTTGTTCCTCCCTGTGTTCCACAGGGCAGTGTTCCAAGGTAGACACGGGCCTCTAGGGCTGGGTGGAGTAGAATAAGACTTCTCTTACACACACTTTACTCTCACGTTCCCGCCTCTCAGTTTGCTTTAACATGATTTGGGGCATTGAAATGGGCAGTGCAGGACATCTGTAAAGGAGGCTAAGTAAGACAAACGTGGGGGGCCAAAAAGGCATCTGGGGGTGAAGGCCATTGCTATTCCCCTGTGAAAGGTGGCAGTGGAACTAGACTGGGTAGGAGGTTCAGGGGCACCTGCCTTCTGCTGGGGTTGTGATCCCAGAGTCCTGGGATCCAGCCCCAGGCTGGGCTCCCTGCTCTGTGGAGAGTCTGCTTCTCCCTTTCCAACTCCCCCTGCTTGTGTTCCCTCTCTTGCTCTCTCTCTCTCTCTGTCAAATAAATAAATAAAATCTTAAAAAAAAAAAAAGCTATGCCACAGAAACATAGGAACTGGAAAGATGATCCAGCTTAACTTTTTTTTTCCCAATCTTGGTCAAAACATAACAATTTACCATCTTAACCATTTTTAAATGGACATTACAGTATATTAACTACAAGCACATTATTGTGCAACAGATTCCTAAAACTTTCGGAATTTTCCATCTCGCAAAACAGAAACTGTATTGAATAATTCCCCTCTCCCCTCCTCTCCCCCAGCACCTGGCAAACACACCACTCTACTTTCTGTGTCTAAGAGTTTGACTGCTTTAGATACCTCTTATAAGCAAAATCATGAAGTGTTGGTCTTTCTGTGACTGACTCATTTCACTTGGCATCGTGTCCTTAAGGTTCACCCGTGTCGTAGCAGATGACAGCATTTTTTTTTCCCTGCAAGGCTGAGTAATAGTCCAGTGTATGCCTATGCCCCATTTTCTTTATCCAGTCATCAACTGATAAACATTTAGACTGTGGGACCCAGGCTGCTGGGCTCTGGAGTAACACAAAGTCTGGCGCGCTCTATAAAGAATATCCTTTTTAATTCTCAAAAATGGCAGAGGTCAGATAGATGCCATTCAGTACGAAGAAGAGAGCCAGACTAAGAAACTGCAAAGCGTAAGGTTCCCGCGGTAAACAGGGTTCTGAGGTCCGGCCCCACCGATGCCCCGCCCCTCCCCAACGACTTCCCCCGCCTCCCGCGGGGCCTCGCAGTGCATGTTGGGGCTTGCAGTTCCGGCGTGAGGGGCCGTGCGCGCGCATCCACCGCCGGGCGCGACTTCCTCCCTCGGCCGCCTGCTGTCGCTCCCGGAAGCTGAGCAGGTTAAAGTTTTAGCCCTTCCTTTCCCCGCCCCTTAGCCCCGCAGACGGCCAACCCACGTAGCTAATAGGTGGCCGGGCTCGCGCTTTCTCTTATCTGATTGGTTTAGAGTCTTGTAGGCTCTAGACAAACTCGCCGGGGATTGGTCGAATCATCAGTTTTGAAATTTCGGAGGTTTCGCCGAGCTGCGCGGCCCCATTGCGTCTCCGAAGCGGTGAGCCCTGGAGACCCAGAGCCGAGAGTTTTGGGCCGGCCGGGGGCTCTGCTAGGGAGGCCGCCGGACTTGGATCGGAGCAGCACTTAGCAGACGCGGTGCAGTCGAGTGAGTGCGCGGGGCGGCCGGCGGGGCTGGGGGTGGTTGGCGGTTCTCTACCCTCCCGCCAACTCCGGACCGGGGGCGTGACACCCCCCGCTTCGCCCCGCGGCCTGGAAATGCACGGGCCACTTCTTCCAGGTGGCGAGGTGACCTGCCTTGGTCCTGGGGCCTGAGATGACCCCTTATCCTCCGCCTAGGTCACCAGATTCCGAAAGAATAATATTCCTCTCCCTTTCCGGTCGGGTGCCTTGTTTTGTGCTGGGAGACCCTTTGTTGACCTGGACGCACATGAAACGCACAGCAACCCGGGATTATGCCAGATGGCATTTCTGTACAGTTAACCCTCGCTCAACACCTCCCCCACCAGCTGAGCAACGTTTTAAATTGACCATTTCCGGAGGCCAGGGCCGCCCCTCATTTGTCCCTCCGCAAGGACTTTCGCAGTCAGCGAGCGGTTCGATTCCATCCCGCCGCCGTGGTCTTCCCCGCGGGTGCCCAGGCCCAAACCCGGCGCCCACCCTTCAGAGACTGAAATCGAGCCGGCGGCATAGATTGTGGTCAGGAGCACGGTTTAAATCCAGGCCCCGCCCCTGATTTAGTGGGGGACTTCGACTTCTCTTTGCCTCAGTTTCCTCATCTGCACACGGGTGTCCCTGAGATCATGGTGGGCGGTAAATGGGACGATGCTCTACCTGAGCACTGAGGCAGGGCTCAGTAAGTGGGAGCAGCTATTTATGATCGCGACCAGACCTTCGCTGAGGTGTGGTAGACGGTTAAGTGCTCCACTTCCTGCACCTCAATAAACGGGCCCCCGGTCTCGTGGGTGGTGTGAGGGAAGTACTGGGAGAGGAAGGTGCGCTCCCTTCTCCCTTGGTGGGATGTTGGCTGTCCTGATTTGTGCACACAGGTTCTTCACGGGCAGAAGAGATTTTCTTACTGTTCTTTCCAGGAGCCTCTGTGGTACACTGATCCTTTCTTAGAGTCATCTCTCTGTTCTAACTTATAGTGACCCTTTTTAAAGAGCCAAGCTGAGGTCTCAAAAAAACAAAACAAAACAAAAAAAACCTTTATCATGGAAGAAGCCTAAATAAACACTTTTTTTGTACATTGTGAAAGAAGCTCTCACCAACTCTGCTATTTTGAACAATTACTTAAAAAAGAAAAAAGATAGTATAGTGTTGCTTGCTGTAGCTCTTCAGCGAACCTTTGTTTTGGTTTTGGCTTCTTTAAACAATTTTCTCTTTCCTGGCCTGGAACTGGGGTCCTGCCGTTTGGCAGGGCTGAGCTCTGGGACAGAGGGTCTGAGGGGAGGGATGGCAGCACAGAGGCCATGCCTGTGATTGACTGGCTTCAGAGCTGTCTCTGCCCAAAGCTTCTGCCGTCCTTTGTAACTGCCCCTATCCTGATTAGGGCTGCTTCTGGCATCTAAGAGCAGGAGCCTAACCTGTGTATGGCATGCCCTAACCTGTGTAGAATGGTGTCCCTGTGTGTTGCCTGGGGGGAGAGGTACCTATAGGATGTTTATTTCTAGGTGTAGAACTGACAGATGAATTAATTCATTCAATAAGTAGTCCCTTTATGCCAGGCACTGTGCCAGGCTCTGGGCTTTCATCTGCAAGCAAGACAGAAAAGGCTTGCCCTGGGGGAGCAAATGTTTAGTGGGCAGAGACAGGCAGTAAGTGAACAGATAGATACACAGTTACCCAAGTGCCATGCAGAGAACTGAAATCTATAGATGGTATAGTGGTGGTGGTCAGGTCCTTCCTGAGTTGCTGAGATCCAGGTGCAAATCGGAGACAGAAGTTTCCAGATGGCGGGCAGATCTTGCTTGAGGAACAAAGGCTAGTGTGCCCTGGAAATCAGGCCCCATGAAGTCTTGTGAAGCTGCAACAGGGCCTGGTGTTAAGCTCTATAAGGTGTCAAGGGATCAGTGATTTAGAACCTCCTTCCGGGAGCTTCGATCTTTTTTTTTTTTTTTTTAATATTTTTTTTATTAGAGAACTTGTGCAGAGTGGGGGAGGGGCAGAGGGAGAGAGAAACTCTGGACTCCCAGCTGAGAGCAGAGTGACCCTGGGGTCATGACCCAAGCCAAAATCAAGCCACTGAACCGACTGTGGCACCCAGGCGTCCCAACCAGGAGCTTCCATCTTCAGTGGGAGGCTGAGCTCTGCGGTTTCTTGATTTTAGGGGTGTAGATCAGGGTGGTGGGTCATTGTTGTGGTATGTGACATGCCGTCTGTTATGATGGCTGACGTCCATCACTCATTCATTCCCCTCTAAGGATATTTATTAAGCTCCTGCTGTGACTGTAATGAACTCTTCTTCCTGGCCTGGGGCTTTGATGATGATTTTATAACAGCCTTAAAGAGGATACCTGAGTTGCTGGTTTGTTTTAGAAATGAAGAGATATTGATTTTGTGTTTCTTGTATTTTCTGAAAATTAAGACATTGTTTATCCACTCCCCTCATGCTCTCTCATTCATTTCTAGGGCATTTCAGTTTAAGGGAGAAGGTGGTAGGGGGCTCTTTGGAGAGGAGCATGTCTCTGAACCCCTACTTTCTTACCAACTCCCTTGGAATGCAGAACCTTCTGTTCACTGACCTTTTGAAGAAGCTGTTGGAGCTGATGTTCTTTGGCCTGATGCCAAGGGTCAGCTTGTGTGTCGCTCAGGGTGGCTGTGTCTAGCCGTTGCTCACCCCTAGGTAGTAAGAGGAGAGCCCACAGGCCTGAGATTGTGCAGGTAGAGAGGGGTCCTGTGCTGCCTGCAGTTTCTCCCTGATCCAGGAAAGCAGTTGGCCATGTCTTGTCATTTTAAGCCCCAGAAAAGGCCATTTGTAAGGACTGTTGCTACCGGAATTGGCTGGGAAGTGTGGACTTAAGGGGACAGTGGGCTGGGGGTTGGGGGGTCAGTTGGGAAGGCATTTGAACAGCAAGAAGGCGGGGCCCTCCTTTTTGCCAAAATGTGGTTAGTGGATTGGCATTTGGGATTTTGCCCCTGTGGGGGTGGCTGTGAGCAGGAAGGGGATCTGATTCAGTTACTGGGTGATTGTGGCTGAGGACGGGAGCTGGGCCCTGGCAGGCTCTTCCCCTGGGGGAAGTCCTAGCCCCCAACCCTGAGCCCTTGGGCTTCTTGTTCACTTTCACCAGCCAGAGCCACCATGGGGTCGACAGCCCCAGGGCCCATTCACCTGCTGGAGCTATGTGACCAGAAGCTCATGGAGTTCATCTGCAATGTGGACAATAAGGACTTGGTGTGGCTGGAAGAGATCGAGGAGGAAGCCGAGCGCATGTTCACCAGGTAAAGGCAGGCGTGTGCTGGCAGGAGGTCCCTTGGGAGCACAGCAGCCTTCATCCCCTACCTGACCCGCAGGACAGGCTGCCAGGGTTCCCCCAGAGTGCAAGGTGTGCTGGCGGCTCCCCCCCGGATAATGGGAAGAAGGGGAGATGGTCCTGGGCCGGGCCTCAGGATGGGGCTGCAGAGGCTCGCGTGGGAGCCTTGCTCCGCTCTGTGTCTCTGGGACGAAGCCCCGAATGCCTGGCAGGGGGCTTGCATGTGGCCTTCAAAGCTTGGTGTGGGTCATCCGGGCTCGACCTGTCACTGCCAGGAGAGGGGTGGGGCCAGGCTGGGTCAGGGAGCAGGCTTGCGGTTCTGGGGCAGCTTCGAACATCACTGTCCTTGTACCAAACAGAGAATTCAGCAAGGAGCCTGAGCTGATGCCCAAAACACCTTCTCAGAAGAACCGACGGAAGAAAAGACGGGTTTCCTATGTTCAAGATGAAAACAGAGACCCCATCCGGAAAAGGTGTGAGGAGGGTCAGCTGGGCAGGTGGGGTCTGTGGAGGGTTGGCGCCCACCGGGAGGCATTGGTTCGCGGGCGTTCATGGGGAGCAGAGGCCAGCAGGGGTAGTGGTGGATACCATGTGGGCCATGCTGAGGGGTAGAATGTCCCAGGGAAATAAAGCGTGACCGAAGACCCCTAGATGGTGGAGTCCAGAGCGTGTGTGTGTGTGTGTGTGTGTGTGTGTGTGTGTGTGTGTGTGTTTGTGTGTGTTCTGGGTCTTGGGGGATTGGAAGGATTTCCAGAGGTGGGAGAAAAAAGAGAATCCAAACTTCTGCTTGGGAGCAAGGAACCAGAGGTGTGCACCAGGGTTCCTCCTGTTGCTGGGTTTGACGATGTCCATGGAAATGACTGTGGATTGCAGAGTACTGGGGGAGAGAGGCTGGGTCTTGGGGTCAGGCAATCTCTAACGCACACACCCTAGCTCTGCCCCTTCTCGGTTGGGTTAATTTTCCACCTTTGAGCCTCAGTTTGCTTGTCTCTAAGGTGAGGAGGGTGGTCCCCACCTCTCAGGGTCTTCTTGTGGACTTAGCGACAGCATGACTAGAGCCTCCTCAGCATGACTAGATGCGTTGCACCGTGCAATCTCAGTCAGCGGGAGCTTTTTGTGAGTTTAATCTTCCCAGCAGTTCTGTCCGGTCTGGCATTGTCCCAGCTTTATAGGTAAGGTGGCTGAGGCTCAGAGAGGAGCAGCCGGTGGTCTCGGCTGGCGTTTGGCCTTGGTCTTCCCCCTGCCAGCCCTCTGAGTCATACTCCATGCAAGCTAGTGGCTCCTGGGGAGATGAGTGTGCCCCTGCTCGATTGTGGGATGCCCCTTGCCGTGTTGGGTTGTCTCAGCTTCTGCTCCGGCTGCCTCCAGCAGGTTGTCCCGCAGAAAAACCCGGAGCAGCCAGCTGAGCTCCCGGCACCTCCGCAGCAAGGACAAGGTGGAGAAGCTGGCCACGGTGGTGGGGGAAAACGGCTCTGTCCTGCGGCGGATGACCCGCGCCACGGCCGCAGCTGTGGCGGCCACCGCGGCGTCCGCTGCCCCCTCGTCCAGCCCCGAGTCTCCCACAGCGCTGACCAAGAAGCCCCGGAACAGCCTGGCCGAGGGCCCGCTGGTGCCGGTGGTGGAGATCAGCGTCAGCGAGCGCCGGAGCGCCGAGCAGCACCTCCGCGGGATCAAGTCCGCCCAGTCGCCTTCCCGGGCTCCGTCCCCTCCAGCCTCAGTTCCTGCCTCCCCTAGCATGTCGATGTCGGAAGAGCAATCAACCCCCAAGAAGCCAGAGGCCAGGAGACTGGAATCTGTCACCGTGACCTCCCTAATGGCCACACCCCAGGACTCCAAGGGCCGAGGGGTCGGAGCAAGCCGGTCAGCCTCCAAGCTCAGGATCGCGCAGGCTTCCCCGGGCCCGCAGGACCTGTTGGGCTCTCCTGCGTCCCCGTGGCAGGAGCGGGTGCTGGCTCCCATCCTGCCGGACAACTGCTCCACGCCCACGGGCACCCGCGTGGACCCGCAGTCAGTACGGCGCAGCCTGATCGCACCATCCTCCCCTGGCCGCCAGGTGTCGCTGGCCGAGAAGTACTCGCTGGTGGACCGAAAGGACAAACCCATCCGCAGGTCTAGCAGAAGGATTGGCAAGAAAGCCGCTGAAGAGCCGGCCGCCTCGGCCCGCATCATCTGTGAGTCTGGGGCGCGGGGATCCGCAGTGGGTCGGGGCGCCGTGGAGGGTTCTTGATGCCTGGCTCAGCCAGAGGAGCTCCGGGGAACCATCTAGCAAGGTGCCGTCCCTAGAGCTTTCCTCAGCCGAGTAAATGTGCCCTGTCTGCTGTCCCCTACCGTAGCTGCTGCTAGCCCTATGTGGCTGTTAAGCTCCCCCAAAAGTGGCTAGTGTGATTGAGGAACTGAATTGTTAGTTTTATTACATTTTACTTAATTTAGATTTAAACTAGTGGCTACCGTACTGGAAAGCGCAAATCTAGTCCGACACTCTTATTTTACAGACAAGGAAACTGAGGTCCAGGGAGGTTGGCCACAGTGTCCCTGTGATTAATGGCCAATGTTGAGGTTCAAACCTAGGTCTTTTATCCAGGGCCAGTGTGTTCCACTTTCTTCCCACAGAGGCTCACGTAGACTGACCGCATTTGTAGGCTACCTCCTGATAGCACAACTGTTGGTCTGGGGATACTGAGGGGAAGAGACTGGGCTGTTCACCGCAGCAGGCTCATTCTGGCGGGACAGAGAACTCAGCCATTTACCTGCCCTGTGACCTTAAACAGATTTCAGAAACTTCTTCGTGGGCCTCCACGGTTAACGTTAACCATTTTTTCTTAAAGATTTATTTATTTATTTGAGAGAGAGAGTGTGTGTGCGCAAGGGGTAGGGCCTGAGAGAGGGGGAGAGGGAGTCTTAAGCACATTGCTGAGTGTGGAGCCCAACATGGGTCTCATCCCACGATCCTGAGATCACGACCTGAGCTGAGACCAAGAGTCAGATGCTTAACCTTAACCGACTGTGCCACTTAGGCATCTTTAGCGTTAGTCATTTTTATCATCATCTGGTCCCAGCTCGGGGATATTGTTCCAGTGGGAGCAGCTATTATGAGCCACAGAGGAGGACGGGCAGCTGGGAGGAGTCTGGGCTGGCTGCCTGGAGGAGGTGGGGTCTCACCTGGGAGGATTTTGAAGGGTGCCCGGGCTTTGGCAGGTGGGAAAAGATATGGGGCAAGGTATCCCTGGCAGAGGGAACAGCCTGTGCAAACACCCAGAGGAATAACACGGCAGGTAATGGGGTATCCTGGGCTCATGTGCCACACAAGGGGCTTGGGCTTGACCCCACTGATGCAGAGGATGTCATCCCTTGATGGTTGTTGAACGGCCCCTGGCACTGTGTGAAAAATGGCCAAAAGGAAGGGAGTGAAGGAGGCAGGGAGACTAGGGAAGAGGCTGCCGCCAGGGTCTAGCCAGAGGACAGTGAGGCAGTGGGACTGATGGAGAAGAAGGGCCAGGTTTTAAGTGAATGTGTCTCACAATTGGGATCAACGTCAGCCTGGCGCTTCTTGATGTGTGAAACGCTAGGTTGTCATTTGGCCCTTGCAGCAACACTGTTAGCCTGTTAGAATTCCTGCACTTTACAGAGAAGGAACCCGAAGCTTATGGCAGGCACCTAATCTATAAGATTGGGAAACGGGCTTGAGCCCTTTTCAACCTTTCTGGAATGGCAGGCTGTTGGCTGAGGAGGCCTTGTGGAGAGCCCTGGAGTGGGGTTCAGTCCGGCAGGTAAGGCCGTCTCCCCTTGCCAGGCCTCTTCCCTCCCTGGGGAAGGACTTGCTCCGGGTCATGGGGCCTGAGGACCGCAGTCCAGGCACCTGGCCCACTGTCCGTGTTTGGATTCTCAGAGTGGCTGAGGTGTCTGACTTGCCTCGTTGGTTAGCTCACTCCTGAATCTGATCCTTGGAAGGGGTCTGATGGAGTGGTTGAGCCTGGAGCTCTAGAGCCGGGGCGGGGGCGGGGGAGAGACTCTAGACAAGTCTTCCTCACTCTGAGTGCAGGGCTCGTCCACCTTGAGGTGGAAGGAGGAGGGAAAGGAGGGAGATGGTAAAACCTGGCAGTTAAGCCCTGGAGTCACACAGAGCCTCGGTGACCTGGGCACACCCTTCTCAGGACCTCAGTTTTCCCGTCCGTTGAATGGTGAGAACACTTGCCTTGAGTGTTGGACCTCATCTTAGTGCGAGGGGAGGGTACCGGCTCGATCAGTCTTAAACCATAAGACCGCAGAAGGCCTGTGTTCCTGAAGCTCCGTCTGGTCGTGGCCAGGCTGACCCTGACCTGAATTGGGCTGCAAGGATGTGGAACAGTGAGGGAGACAGGCCTCCTGGAGGCCTTCCTGATGCCTAGGCTCTGGGTCTTGGCTGACAGGCAACTTGGGGGTGGGGGGTGTCTTAGTTTGTGTTCCCCCAGAAGCAGCCTTGATGTCAGGATTTGAGTGCAGCTTGTTAATTTTGGAGGTGTGGGAAACGCCTACAGCAGGGTCGTGGGGAAGTGAGACAGGAAGGCCTGCCCGTGAAGGGGCCTGGTGCTGTGGGGGGCGGGGTGGAGGGCACCCCTGGAAGTCAGGTGGGGCACTGAGGCAAGGGGCTGCCGGGCGGGGGCATTCATTCCCTGCACTCTTGGCCTGGTGCGCGTTGGCCAGAGGGAGCCACTGGGCTGGCGGCGGGGTAGGGGGGTGGGTTGGGACGTTGTTAGGCAGAGCCTGCTTCAGCGTGTTTGAAGGGTCCTGCTCCTTGGGCCAGGCTCCTCTTTGGGGTCCCCCCAACCACCACTGTGTTGGGAAACAGCCCATCCGTCCCTTTGCCGGGACTGACGCCATCTCCCTGCCACCACACCTGGCCCGAGGCCCGAATGGCATGGAGATGGCACTTAACATTCCGGAGGAGTCCTTGCACTGGCGGAAGGTGCGGTCATGTGGTGTCTCCTCATCCCTCGGCTCCCTCAGCGAGCGCTGAGCTGGGATGGGAGACGAGGAGGGGAGCTGTAAGGCTGCTGGCCCCCGCAGGTGGGAGCAGGCCCCACCTGTGACTGTGGGCGGGCTCTGCCCCAGGCCCCGCTACACTCCCGGAAGCAGGGTCCTGCTGCTCTTCTCTCTGCGCCTCAAGTTTGCTGCTCCAGCCCTTTGTTCTTCTTCCCGCCTTCCCTTATGCCCATGGACACTGCATGGCCTCACCTCAGCTGCCTCTCAGCGTCACCTCAGGAAAGTCCGCCCTTTCCTGCCTCGCGGCCTTCGCAGGTGCTGTTCCTTCCACCTAGACCAACAGCTCTCAACTTTCGGTCTAAACAGCTGCTTCCAGTCTTAAAAATTAAGGAGGACCCCAAAGAGCTTCTGATGATGAGGGTTCTTTCCATTGATAGCTACCATATTAGAAACTAAATCTGAGGGATGTAAAATGTTTCAGTACTATTGAATATTCTCTGTAGTCCTATTACTTATTTCGACAGTAAAGATTAAGAATATTATTCAATACTTTGATATTAAAAAAACCCATTGTTGATTAACGTTAGTTTTTTTTTTAATGAATAGAATAAGTAACTCTTTTCTAAAACAACTGTAAGGAGGAGACTGGGCATGCTCTACATCTTGCAGATCTTTTGCATGTGTGGCTCGAAAAGATGCATCTGGGTTCTGTACTCCCATCTGCTGGCTTATGTTGTTTGGGTTAAAACATATGAAGAAAAGCTGGCCCCACGCAGATACGTAGTTGGAAAAGAGAGGAGTACTTTAAAAGTCTTTTCAGATAATTGTGCACAATCATTTTTTTTCCAGATAATTTTGTGCATTCTTTTTTTTATTTTTTATTTTTTATTTTTTTATTTTTTTTTAAGATTTTATTTAGTTATTTGACAGACAGAGATCACAAGTAGGCAGAGAGGCAGGCAGAGAGAGAGAGGAAGGGAAGCAGGCTCTCCGCTGAGCAGAGAGCCTGATGTGGGGCTCGATCCCAGGACCCTGAGACCATGACCTGAGCCAAAGGCAGAGGCTTAACCCACTGAGCCACCCAGGCGCCCCAATTTTGTGCATTCTTAACACAAGTGGTGGCTTCTTAGAAGCTCATTGCAGTGTAGAATCAGAAACTATCCTTGATCCCACCCTGGTCTGTCTTTCACTTTGAATGGAACTTTTAGCCATGTTTGATTTTGTAGCATTGTGCATCGATTATTTGGATGTGTTACTGAGTTACGTGCATCTTCTAAACGTCGACACCCTTCATCATCTGTTTCTTTAAAAGGAGCACATTTGCTTTCTGATCTTACCTGAAAAGTCTTTAGGTATTGGGAAGCTATGAAGCTCATGATAGTGCATACATATTTTTCAAAATTCTATTTTTGGCCTTTTTGGGGGGGCCTCCTTTTTTGAATTATTGGCAACAAATATTTATTGTTTCACATGAAGCGACAGGCTCACTTCATTTTTTAAGATACTTGGGTACTGCCAACTATCCAAGACTGAATAGCCATTGTTTGCCAGTTGCCTTTTCAATGAAAAATAGTTCCGTGAAAAAGTGGCTAGTTGAGCTGGGTACTCAAACATGGGCACCTTCCGAGGGACATGGCTGTGCACCAGAGGGCACTGCACAAACTTTCCACCCTCTACACAGAGGTTCAGAAGACACACACTTAAGTTTAGATTTGATAAAATTAATAGTTTTTACTCCTTCATTGAGGACATTCTTAAGGGAAACGACATTTCTGTGCTGAGTGTGGCGTACAGCTGGTTTTGTGACTTCTGTCGAGCGCTCACGCTCCAGCAGTCTCACCTAGCATTGCTTTTGCTCTTTCAGGGCAAATCCCAGCACAGTGAGAAGGGAAAATTGTTTCTGTGTTGCAGTGGAAACAGGACTTCACGGATCCTGGCTGAAAGGGTTGGGCACTTGACTTCCAGGAATCTGAGAGTACGCTTTGGGAACCACTGACCTGGACATCCTTCTCCCTGCCAACCCTGCCCCTTTGTGTCCTTGTTTTCCTTCATGACCCAGCCCCTAGACCAGCTCAGGTCCTGGCCCCCTTATAGTCTTTCAAAATCCTCTGCTCTTTCCTGTCATCACACATACCACCTGTCTTTCACTACATTGTTTGATGGTTATATAGACCGGAGAGTGGCTCTGTTTGTTTTGCTCACCATTAGGTCCCCAGGGCCTGGCTCAGGGCCTGGTACATAGTAGGCCCTCAAAGAATAATTGCTGAATGAACGAGCTGCTTTTTGTTGGGCCCCATGCTGGATGTTGGGGGCCTGGAATCAGATATTCACTAGATACTCATAGCCCTGTGAAGGAGCCAAGACCTGCCCTCAGATGGGCAGGTTGCCAGCTAGGGAGTAGTAGGAGACATAAGCCAACAGCTCTACTGAGGGCACTAGGAGCAGGGAGAATGTGCTCAGGACCTCTGTGCCCAATGAAGGGTGGGATCTCTGGGATGGAGAGGGTCTGTGTTTAGTGAGAAAGGTCTCTGAGGTAGAGAGGGCCTGGGTGAAGAAAGAGGTCTCTGGGTGGAGAGGGCCTGGGCCTGGTGAAGAGAAAGGTTTCTGCAGTGGGGAAGGTCTGGGTCTGGTGAAGGGAGGGGTCTCTGGGGTGGAGCGGGTCTGGGTCTGGTGAAGGGGGGCCAAGCCCCAACCAGCACCTGGCTCTCTGGGCCTATTGGAGTGGCACCTGGCCAGTTTCTGAGGCATCATTCGTTCATTTGTTTCCCCTCAGGTCACAGTTACCTGGAGAGGCTCCTGAATGTTGAGGTGCCCCAGAAAGTAGGGTGAGTTCAGTTCTAGGGCTTGGGGAGCTTTCCAGGGCTGGGCAGGGCGCATGGATTCCTGTGTACGGGAGCTCCAGGCTAGAAGCATTTCCTGTGCCCGAGCTTTCCCTCCTGGTGGGGACTGCCCACAACTATAGCCGCACACAGTTGTCAGCCCTGTCCTGGCCTTGACTCTTCCAAGCCTTACCCTGGGGGGCGTGGGCTTCATGGGTTGGCAAATCCAAAGGGTCTACTGGCCCTTCTGTGAATCAAGAGGTGGTCTCACAAGACACGAGAGACAGTGGCTTATCGGGGCATGCAGGATTGGGGTAGAGCCGGGAAGGGGCTGACATCCCGAATGCAGCTGAATTCGGAAGCTGACCATCCTCGTCTGCCCAGGCGGCAGCCACTCCGGGGAGCTGCTGGCTCTGGCTACTGTCCTCCTGGCCTGCCTGGCACTGTGGGTTTGTGACCCAGGCCAGTGCATCTGATGGGGTGGGGAAGGGCTCCTGTGAGGAGGACCCAGGCCGGCTGGGCACGTCCCACATGCCTCTTGCTCTTTCAGCCCTGAGCAGAAGCCCGGCAAGGAGGCTGAGCCCGTGGAGGCAGCTGATCCGGAGGTAAGGCGAGCAGGCCAGGGAGAGGAGCGCTCAAGGGCCTGGGAGTCCCAGGTGAGACCCCGAAGCCTTGGTTTCTCCCCCAGGTCCCCAAGAGCGCATCCCGCAGTGCCACCAAGATCGCCATTAGCACACCTGCCTCGCGGCCTGTGGCTGGTGGCCAGGAAACGCCCTCTGAAGGGCAGCAAGGTGAGTCTGACCTGTCGTGTACTGAGACCAGGGCCGCGCTGGCCTTGGTGGCCTTGGCCTGACTCTGTCTGTCTGTCAGAGGCTTGTGCCCCCCCTCCTGGAGGCAGTGGGAGGAACCCTGAGCTGGGGTGTGAACACCTGGCCTTGTTATGTCTCGGCCACTGGCTCACTTCTCACCTTTGTGGGTCCCCTGTGTGAAGAGGACAGGAGAGCTCTGGGCTCTGGCACCCCCCGACTAGCTGCCACAGGCGTCCAAGGCCTAGCTTATGTCTCCTCAGTGGGAAGAGCACGAGAACTATGAGGTCTTTGAACATGGCTTCTCAGCTTTGTGCGGGGGTCAGGGACAAGGGCCATGCCAGCCCTGTAGCCCATGGGTGAACTCTAAGGTCCCTTTGTGGGAGAGTATTAAGCAGGAGGGGGAGATGCATGCTCTCCTAGGGCAGTGAAACAGAAGGTACTACCCCCACACCGCGTGTGAGGAGCACTTCCCTCCTCCCGTCATGCCGGCCCCAGCCCATAGGCCCTATAGGAGTGCGGTTTCGAAGCCGGGTGAGGGGTCTGTTAGAGTTTCCAGTTTCCACAGGCTTCTGCTCCTGAAGGGTACCCACCCCCACCAACTCTCAGTGTTGGTGGAGAGACATGGTTGGGGTCACCTCGATAGGACTGTCCTGCCGTTCTTGTCACGGGGCCAGGCTGGGGGCTGAGGGAGTCCACGAGCAGGGCATAGCATGCTGGGCTCCGGATGTCCCCAGATGGCTTGAAGCCATTCGGGGCTGAGGCTGATGGTGTCTGCCACTGGCCACCTTGGGGTCTGCCAGGAAGAGAGCCTTGCCCCTGCCGTGGCTGCTGCTTGGGGCGGGGTGGGGGGGGCACCCTGGCCCCTCCAAGCTGTTCCTGCAGCCTCACCAAAATTGCTCTCTTCACAGAGCCCAAGACTGACCAAGCAGATGGCCCCAAGGAGCGCCCCCAGAGTGTCAGGTTTGCATCCAGGCAGGGGGCCTTGCAGGCAACAATTCTGAGGGGCCCAGAGGGGCATGAACCTGGAGTCCTTGTTCGGGAGGGTGGGCATGGGGTTGGGGGCCTCTGTTTCCTCTCAGCCAGGAGGTGAGGGGAGCCTAGTACTCTGGCTGAATGAAGGAGCTGGCTCACTGCGATGACACAGACCTGGTCTGGGAGTGGATAACCCAATCCCAGACCCTGTCCTCTGCACCTTCTTGGCTGTGTGACCTGGGACAGGCCACTTCCCTTCCTCTGGGCAGCAGAGAGTCGGTCAGGGAGACCCCACCTCAGCAGAGCTTTTTAGTCGGGAGCCCTCTGCTGGGCCCACTTCTGTTCATGGGGGACCTCTTACAGGATGAGGTTGGGGCTCTGGGGAGGGTCCTGGGCTCAGCCCTGCGCCGTGCCTGTGGCCCCGCTGCGGCAGGAGGAAGCGCAGCTACAAGCAGGCGGTCAGTGAGCTGGACGGGGAGCCACAGCTGGACGAGGAGCCGCAGCTGGACGGGGAGCCGCAGCTGGAGGACGGGGAGCCGCAGGCCCCCAGGAGCAAGACCCCTTCCCCGCCCTGCCCTGCCAGCAAGGTGAGCAGGCACCAGCCTGCCCGCCCGCCCTCCCTCCCTCGGTGCCCCGCCCCCTGTGGCCTTGTCCTTACCCTGGTCCCCTCCCACAGGTGGTGCGGCCCCTCCGGACCTTCCTGCACACCGTGCAGAGGAACCAGATGCTCATGACCCCGACCTCGGCGCCCCGCAGCAGTGTCATGAAGTCTTTCATCAAGCGCAACACTCCCGTGCGCATGGACCCTAAGGTGAGGGAGCCCATGGCCCTGGCCAAACTTTGCTCCAGCCGGCTGGTGCGGCCGGAGGCTCCAGTCCCCTCGGCTGCCAGGAGGAGCATGGGTCTGGACCAAGGCAGCCGTGACCTGGCCCTGGCCAAGGGCCAGCTCCCTCCTCTATGGCCACTGGAGGACTGTCCCTGCTCCTTGGGCTCTGCACCACGGCTTACAGGCTTGGCTGGCTGCCCGTGACACCTGGGCCTTGGCCGCTGGGCTGAGAAGTAGTAGAAATGGCTAGCTGGCCAAGGCCATGACCGTCCATCCCGACGCCCACTCTGGGGGCTTGAGTAGTTAGGGTGAGGGACACACGTGGATGCTGTGCTTGCTGGGGGTGGGGGCTGCTGAGTTGGCAGGCAGCGGGGGGCTGCTGATGAGAGGCTGCGGGCCACACACCGATGCTGGCATGGCCAAGAGGGTGGCTGGCTTTCAGGGCGTCCTCCAGCCTGCCATTAACTCCTGGCTTTTTCCTTGTCTCCTCTTCCCCACAGTGCAGCTTCGTTGTAAGTAAAGCCTTTTCCTGTCCTGGTAACCTAGCTCCCCCTAGCACTTACCTGGTTAGCCCTGCTCCTGCAAACCCACCAGCGTGTGTAGAAGCACTAACATGGGAAATGGAGGGGTGCGGCCGAGGGAGTGGGGGAACCGGAGGCGCTGGGTGGCTGCCTGGAGACGCCCAGCCCTTCCGGGTGCCCTCCCCATGCGGGCCCTATCCTCTCTGCCCTTGTCTCTGCTCCCGGGAGGATGTATGTTGATCTCAGAACCTCCCTGAAGCCAGGGGCGGCAGAAGGGGTGCGGCTTGCGCCCATTGGCGGGGGCCACAGCTTGGATTTCCCCACAGCACCTCCCTCCCTACTCCCCAGCTCTGGGCTCCCCCTCAGGGTTTGGGGCTGTGAAGAGAACAGATAAGTTGTCTCTGAACCCCAGAGCCACCAAGATGGATTGGGTCACAGACCTTCGCTACTGCCCTGAGGGGCGGAACTGTGGGGGAAGCCAGGGTTCAAGGCTGAGTTTTGTGGGCGTAGCAGTGGAACTGCTGATAGCAGCCTCTGGAGAGAAGGCCACGGAAGCTGTTCTCTTCCCAGATACCTCAGAGCTGAGCCGGGCCACGGGCCCTGAGGAAGGAGCCCCAGATAGCCAGGATCGGCTCAGCCTGGAGTCTTGGCTTCCTGGGGTCTCCTTGGTTCCCACTGGTGCTTTGAAGGGCCTACTGCTAGGAGGGCTTCTACCTCTTAGCAGAGGGCCTCGGGCTAGACAGGTCAGGGGGCTTCCCAGCAGTTAGACAGGTAGGCCCTGAACTTGCCTCTCCTGCAAGGAAGCTGGTCCCCTTCAGCTGAGCATCTGGGGCTGGTGGGCCGTTTCTCCATTCGGAGACAGAGGGCATAAGTGGGTCACAGGGACCTCGGGATCTTGGACTCCTTTCCTAACCTTTGGCTGAGTTTCCTTTGGCTACAGAATGAGATCAAGGTCGTTTCATAGAAACGGATGAGCCAAAGTCCTGCGTTCCAAGCACCCAGCACAGGGCTTGGTACGAAGTGATTTTGAGTAAAAGGCAGAGAGACTGCTTGGTTGAGGCTCCTGGAGACAGAAGGGGCTCAACAAGCTTGGCTTTCTCACCTGCTGCCTTGGCCTCAGTGCGGCCTTTGGGAAGCAGGGACAATCCAGCCCACCTTGGAGGCTTGGGACAAAGGGCACACATGGATTCTATGACACGGACAATTCTTGCTTTCTCCTGTAAAGTTCACAATGCCCAGGACAGGTTCCCTGGCCTGTGTTGGGAAATTTTAGCACTCAGACTTTCAGAACAAAACCAGTTTTGCTGAGCCCTGTGGGAAGCAGGAGTCCGCTCAGCCCTTGGGGCAGGAACACAGGGTGGTGGGCGCTCCAGGTACCACGTGAACTTTGCCTCCCAGGTGTGTTCCTCACCAGACAGCAGGGGGTGGGAGTTGACTTCTGCCTGGGTGACCTTGAACCTGCAGAGTTACATCTTTGACCAAATGTGGAGTGTCCGCAGCCACTGTTGCTAAGAAGTTTTTAGTATTAAGTTCTTTCTCTCCATCGTGGGTGGCGACGACACCCATGCTGGCGGCGGGCCTTCCTGTGTGTCCCGCAGTCCTTCGGGCTCCATTCGTTTCTCTTCAGTAGCTTTTTCTCTCTGGATCAGATGGTGTTTCATTGACTTACTTTCACGTTTATTGATAACTGTCTGTCTTTGCCATTCTGCTCTTGAACCTAGGCACTGAGTTTGTTTTTTTTATCTCTGTTACTGTATTTTGAGCTCTCAAATTTCCAATTTACTTTTTTTCTGGATCTTCTGTCTGCTGAGATTTTCTGTTTTGCCAGTTGTCTCAAGAACGTGACTACTGTCGAAACATTTTTAGAATAGCGGTGTGATAGTCAGGGTCCTGTGTATGCGTCTGCCCCTCGCAGCTGAGCCTCGGCATTCGCACACAACCCGACAGTGTTGTTTTCTCCATCTATACTGTACGTTTCCTGTCTCTGCGATTCTCCCTCTCCGTCCCCCAGCCAGGAAGCTGAGGCTTTATTACCCTGCTCTGCCTCGCGCTTACACGGCCACATCTGGAGTCAGCTGCTGGGCGGGAGAGGAAGGAGCAGCAGCCTTGTCTCAAGCTTCTGGGATCACAGCCCCGCAGTAGGGAGGGGAAGCTTCTCCTCCTTCAGGGTTTTGACACTGCAGGTTCTTCTAACTGCGGCTGTCCCCACTGTCACAGGGTTTTTTGTGGCCTGGGGCATGAGAGGAGGAAGAAAAGGACAAACCAAGATCGGGCTTTCTGCATACTCTGAGCATTAGATGTCCCCTTTCCACTCCCTGAGTCAGAACGAGAGGGCCTTTCCCACATTCTGTCTGTCTGCACTGCAGGGCCCTTTGGGGTTTCAGACCTCATTGAGTTTAGATGAGAGGAAAAATAATAAACTTACTGTGGATTCGGTGATGCTCCAAAGCCTGCTCTTCCCCTTCTGTCTGCCCGCATAGCCCTCACACAGCTGCTCCATGCAGGCGTTTATGGCCATGTTCAGTGCGAGAGGCTTCGCGGAGTGTCTGCTCTCAACCAGGAGGAGCCCTGCTCTCCATCTTTAGGGCCGTATTACCTTGGGCCCAGATTTCTAGGTGGGAAATCTGCAGTCAGAGGCCAAGGGGAAATGGATAGTCACTCATGCGCGGAGAGGGGCCTCTGGGTGGCCGAGCCCAGAGGTGAGAGTCTGATGGGAGGCAGGAGAGGGGTCCAGGTCCCAGCTGCCAGGGGGCAAGTACCGCTCTTGTCCTTGGCCAGGGAATGCTCCATGTCCCCACCTCTGCTTGCCCCCTGCTGTGCCTTTGGGGATTTCTGGGCACTCGGAGGAGGAGGGTCTCAGCACTGATTTGCTGAACAACCAACTAGTACTTTTAAAAAGTGGTAAAAATCACAATGTTCCTGTATCACAGAGAATCCGCCATCCTTAATTTTATCTCCCCAGCCTATAGTAATCTTTGTTAGCATTTGGCTGTATTCCATTTTTTTCAAATATTGAGAAACACAAGAGCGCGCGCGTGTGTGTACACATAGCATAAAAGTGACAGCCTAGTACTAACAGATGAACATTATGTACCTACCATGCCCCGGGTAGAATGTTAACCGCAACTTCTACAGCAGTCTGTCCCTTCCCGGTCTTACCCTTCCTTCGCTTCGCGAGTGCACTTTAACATGGTTGTAACCAGAACATAGATCCATGGGCGCCTGGGTGGCTCAGTGGCTTAAGCCTCTGCCTTTGTCTCGGGTCATGATCCCAGGGTCCTGGGATCGAGCCCTGCATCCGGCTCTGCTCAGCAGAGAGCCTGCTTCCCCCTCTCTCTCTGCCTGCCTCCCTGCCTACTTGTGATTTCTGTCTGTCAAATAAATAAATAAAATCTTAAAAAAAAAAAAAAACATAGATCCAATTTTGAGCCCGATTTTTGTGCTGCTGCGATGTGGCAGGGTTTAGTCAAGGGCACTCAGGAGGCCTTAGGGCCCCCCCAGAAGGACTGTAGCCCCAGACCTCAATCTGATTGGAGAGGGAGGCACGTTTGGGGGCGGCTCTGCCTCTCTAGCACTCTGGCAGGGGCCCAAGGGGCACCCTCACTGCACCAGGGTCTCACTTACCCCCCCCCACCCCGCCTCATCCCACCCCACCCCACCCCACCTCGCCCCAGGAGAAGGAGCGGCAGCGCCTCGAGAACCTGCGGCGGAAGGAGGAGGCTGAGCTGCTCCGCAGGCAGAAGGTGGAGGAAGACAAGCGACGGCGGCTGGAGGAGGTGAAGCTGTAAGTGCTCTGCCTCCCGGCCCCGGCCCCGGCCCCGGCCCCGGCCTCGGCCTCGGCTCCACTCGGCTGGGCTCCCCACCACTGCCCTGTGCCCGCAGGAAGCGTGAGGAGCGCCTCCGCAAGGTGCTGCAGGCCCGGGAACGGGTGGAGCAGATGAAGGAGGAGAAGAAGAAGCAGATCGAGCAGAAGTTTGCTCAGATCGACGAGAAGACTGAGAAGGTGCGAGCCTCGGGCTGGTGGGCGGCCACGCTCTGGGCTGGGCTGCACCCCGGTGGGCCCCAAGCAGGTCAGACTGGGGGGGGCCGTGGCTTCCGGGTGCCCCTCCCTTGGGCCGTGGGGAGCAAGCAGGTCTTGCAGGGGCAGGGGGTGCAGAGTTCTGCGCCCGTTCTGCAGGGCTGAGTGAGGAGGGGTGTGCTCATGGACACATCTGGGTGGGCTCTGCAGGCCAAGGAGGAGCGGCTGGCTGAGGAGAAAGCCAGGAAGAAGGCAGCAGCCAAGAAGATGGAGGAGGTGGAGGCGCGCCGGAAGCAGGAGGAGGAGGCGCGGCGGCTCCGGAGGCTCCAGCAGGTATGAGGGCAGGTGGGCCGACGGGCTCGGGCTTCAGGAAGGGTGGGGAAGGCTGGCACGTGCCTCAGTCCCCCAGCACGGCTGGGCGCACCCCACTTGGTTGGGCTGGTCTTGGGGGCTCCCGTGGCTTCAGCCCCGGAGGAGGTTCAGCAAATGCCTGGGAGACGTGGATGGTGACAGGAACTTCCCTCCCGTTTGCTGTGGAGGTGACAGTTCGAGAGTTAAGCGTACAGACCCCGGAGCCAGACTTCCAGTCTCGGCTCTGCCACTTTGGCAGCTGTGTGACCCTGGGCAGGTCAATCGACCTTGCTGGGCTTCAGGTCCTTCCGGTAACAGTGGTATCTACTTGATAGGGCTGGTGTGCGGATGAACGACAGGGAGCACAAATCTGTCACTAGGGGGTTAAGTACAAATAACTATAATTTATTTTTTATTTTATTTTATTTTTTTAAGATTCCATTTATTTATTTGACAGAGATCACAAGTAGGCAGAGAGGCAGGCAGAGAGAGGAAGGGAAGCAGGTTCCCTGCTGAGCAGAGAGCCCGATGCGGGGCTCGATCCCGGGACCCTGGGATCATGACCTGAGCCAAAGCCAGAGGCTTTAACCCACTGAGCCACCCAGGTGCCCCAAATAACTACAATTTAGTTAGTATCTGCTACGTGCCAGACACCGAAGTACGTTCGGTGTATGAACTCAGCAATTTCCTGCGGTTGTGGGTATTACTGTTGTTCCCATTTATCCATGAGGAAACCGAGGCCAGAGAGCTTAAGGCACTTGGCTGGGGTCACACAGCAGGGGAGTCTGTCTCCAGTCTCTGCCCTTGACTGCCGGCTCTGCTGCTGCACGACAGGCACTTTTCCTGGTGATTCTTGGTGGAGCTCTGCCCTGGCTCTCGCCGCTGGGAGGGAGCAGCTCTCTTCCCACCCTGTCCTCGCTCCTTCTCCAGCCCCTTCTGCAGCCCCCTCCCCTCGCCTGCCTGAGGCTGGCCCGAGGCCCCCGACCTTGCTCTCCCTTCACAGGAGGAGGAAGAGCGGCGGCACCAAGAGCTGCAGAAGAAGAAGGAGGAGGAGCAGGAGCGGCTACGCAGAGCTGCGGAGGCCAAGAGGCTGGCGGAGCAGCGGGAGCAGGAGCGGCAGCTGGCCGAGCAGCGGGAGCAAGAGCGCCGGAGGGAGCAGGAGCGGCTCCAGGCCGAGAGGTGAGGGGCCCACTCCCCCGCTGGCCCAGGCGGCGTCCTGGCATCGTGCCACCTGCTTTCCGTGGGCGTGTGGAAGGGAGACATGCAGAGCCGTCACCAGGAGGCAGCTGCCCCCTTCACTTGGGGGTCTGCGAAAGGGCAGACTCTTCTCATACTGGGAACTGGGCTAGGACTCAGCTTCCTGACAGGCTCTCGCTTGGTCCTCAGGGAGCTGCAGGAGAGGGAGCGGGAGAAGGCGCTGCGGCTGCAGAAGGAGCGGCTGCAGAGGGAGCTCGAGGAGAAGAAAAAGAAGGTAAAGGGGAGTGGGCCTGGGGCTCCCGTGGGGTCCGTGCCAAGCTCTGGGCCGACCTGGGGGTCGCTGGCCCAGCAGGTGCCTCGCCTGCCTGGCTGCATGGGGTTGGCGTGGGGGGTGGTGAGGACATGCTCAGTCTCCGACACCGGCCTCAGGAAGAGGAGCAGCGTCTGGCCGAGGAGAGGCTGCAGGAGGAACAGCAGAGGAAAGCCAGGGCGGCGGCGGCGGTAGCGGCGACGGCGGCAGCGGCCAGCAAAGGCCTGAATGTGACTGTGGATGTGCAGGTGAGGCCGGGCACCCGAGTGGAGAGGCTCTGGTCTCTGGTCCTTCCCTTCCCAGTAGCTGGAGGCACAGACTATGTACTAGGACTGGAAGAAAGAGGAAGGATACAGGTGGCCCAGTTGTTTTTACCATTTTCTTATTCTTAAAAGTAGAATTTGTTATTAAGAAAAAAAAAAAAAAGGGAAAGAAGAAGAAACTAAATTCTTTTAGAGAGTATAAAGTGAAAGAAAGGTACCCTTACAGGAGAGAGCTCATGACGTGAGCCAAAATCAAGAGTTGGACACTCAACCGACCGAGGCAGCCAGATGCCCCTTGTACCAGAATTTCTGTAACGAGCCCTTGTAACAGCATAATGCTCTTACAAACAACGTACGTGGGAGGGTTTTCATTGCAGTATAGCTTATGAGGATGCATGGAGCCAAATGTTCATCTATAACAGATGGTTAAAGTAAGCACCAGTCATGGGGCTCCCAGGGGGATATCCCTGGCTGCTGGTGGCACATTGACCAGGAAGAATGTTTGCAAAGCACTTTAACTTGGAAAAGGAAGATACAAACAATGAGTTCTGGAACACTGAAAAGAAATAAAATAAAATGAAAAAAAATTTTAAAAAAGAAAGGGAAGATACAGTCATTATGGTATGACTTTTTTAAAATTAAAAAGTGAGCCCCTGAACCTTTCTTACTCCCCATGAAATGAGGGGTGCTGACTAGAGCCCTAGCGGCCCTCGGCGGTGAGAGAGGCAAGAAGGCGGGCCGGGGGAACTGACAGCCATGTTCGTCTTCTCCAGTCTCCAGCTTGTACCTCCTATCAGATGACGCCACAGGGCCACAGGGCCCCCCCCAAGATCAACCCAGATAACTACGGGATGGACCTGAATAGCGATGACTCCACCGATGACGAGGCCCATCCCCGGAAGCCTATCCCCACCTGGGCTAGAGGTAAGCAGGGCTCAGAGTTCCCCAGAAGACCTAGGTCCTCTCTTGTGACATCTTGGATCCTGGACATACTGGCTTGCCAGCTGTGGGTGCCAGGAGGCTCTTGTACTCACGGGCTGGCTACTCGGCCCAACAAGCCTGTGGTGGACCTTGGGATGTGCCAGGGGAGGGCGGGCACTGTATGGCCAGTGGGCTTATCTGAGGACCAGTTGGACGGTGGGAGGCGCCTCTCTTCTTAAGAAATGAGTTAAATTATGGCTGGCTGCCCGCAGGCATGGTGCTGGCTGTTCCCGCTTGGCTCTGTGCCCCCCCCTTGGAGCCCTACCCAATGGGCCAGCTGGAGGTAGACCCAAATAAGCAGCTTCGGGTAGGAGTAACACCAAGATGGGCTAACAGGTTTTAGGCAGCACCCAAGAACTGGAGCTGGCAGTTCTGGGCAGCTGGGGAACGTCTGAGGCAGGGACGCTTGAGCAGGATTTGATCCCGGAGTAGACAAGCTGCGATGTTTAAACAGGAGCGTGGGTGGGGGTGACTAGGCCACTGAAGACCGGGATGCGAGGCCTACTGGGAAAGGGGCGGGGCCCGTGTGTACCATGGGCACTTTATCGAGTGAGCTGAGCTGGGCTGAGGGTGGGATGCAGTCTCACTGCCCGGAGAGAAGGGCCCAGAGCCCCATAGGGGTCAGCTCTCTCCAGAAGACAGCTTGCTTTGGTGTCACCTTGCTTGAACTCCATGTTGGCCAGAATCTGATTTAGTCTCCTTAACGTCTGACATCAGGTCATTTGGGAGGTGGCAGCATGCATGGGGGTCAGCATGCCCGAGGGGCCCCCTAATGGTGCTTGACCTTCACCAACTTAACCTGGCTCAGTTTTCTCATCTGTGAAGTGGGGGTGATGCCTGCTGAGAAGGGTTATTTAGGATGAAGTGAGTTAGTGTTTATAAGTGCCAGGCACATGTTCCACTTCCTAATGCCCCCCCAGGGACTCCCTAACTGGGCTGTGTGCCACCCATAGCCTTGGCCCAGGGGCTCCATTGGTAAGCTCCCTGTGCCACGGGACGTGGCAGTGCAGGGGGAGAAGCACCCGAGCACAGCGGTCGGGGATGGCAGTATGTGCTTACGTTCTGGAGCTAGACTGGTCTCTAGACCCCAGCTCCCCCCAGTCACTAGCCGTGGGCCCTTGGGCAAGTCTCACCATTATCAAACGGGGAGGATGAAGGAGCGGCCTCCCTGGTGGCTGTGGGGATAATGAGGTCATGCAGTGACCCAGGGCCTGGCCCACGTGAGCACCTGGGGACCTGTGTTCAGGTGAAGCTTCCAGAGGATGGCGGTGGGAACAGGCAGGAAGAGCATTTTCAGGGAACGAGGGCCCTGAGAGAGGAGCCAGTGTGGCAGACGTGGGGTCATGCTGGGGCGGAGAAGGCGACAAGGGGCCGGGGGTTGGAGAGACTCACGAGGAGCCCCAAGGCAGTGACCTGACCCTCCGTGTCCCCCCGCAGGCACTCAGCTAAGCCAGGCCATCATCCACCAGTACTACCACCCCCTGAACCTGCTCGAGCTCTTTGGAACCATCCTCCCACTGGACTTGGAGGACATCTTCAAAAAGAGCAAACCCCGCTACCACAAGCGCACCAGCTCTGCTGTCTGGAACTCGCCGCCCCTGCTGGGTGCCAGGGTCCCCAGCAGCCTGGCCTACAGCCTGAAGAAGTACTGAGGCCCCCGGGCCTTCTCAGTGGTCTCAGCCCCTGTGTGTGTGTCTGCCTGTCCGCCCCTCTGTCGCTCGGTGCCATCCTGCCTGGTGTCCTGTCTCGGGGGTTTGCCGTGTGTATATAAATGTCCTCTGTGTGCTACAGGCAGAACGGGGCCCAGGCCTGTTTGGAGGCTGCACGGGTGGGGGGTTGGGGGAGAACTAGCCCAGCCCCGCCTGGCCTGCACACAGCACTCTGTAAATAGGTTGGTAGAATTCAGCGGAATTTTAGCCTCTAGTGTTCGAGAGCTAGAATAATAAAGTCTGTTCCTTCAAGCCTGCTGTGGGTATTATGGGGATGGGGGGCCTTGGCAGAATGTCCTGGACCCTGGCCCTGCCGCCCCGTGTCTCAGGCCACCAGTGGGCTGGGGGCCAAGGCACTGTTTCTTCTCCTGGGCTGTGCTTCCAGGTCAGCCGGGTCTCCCATGTCAAGATGCTGACGCAGTGGGTGATTCTGATCCTGTCCTTGAGCAATGCTGAGACTCAAGTCAGTTACCTGCACGATGGGGCAGGTGAAGCTTCTTTCTCAGTTTCTGGGGAGCTCCTTCCTTGTAAAGGGAGGCTTGTTCGGTGGGAAAGACGTGGAGGTTGAGGTCAGGAGGACTGGGCTCTTGACACAGCTCTACCACCTAGCCCCACAGGCTCCACCCTTGCTGCGTGGTTAGTCAAAGGACTTGACAAGGTGTGCACACTGCTAAAGCGGGAGTTCTGATTAGAAAGATGTCTCGGGAAACCACGTTGGGACCAGTGCTTGCAAGCTGTTGAGGTTTCTCACGCTGTTGAGGTTTCTCACGCTGTTGAGGTTTTTCATGCTGTTGAGGTTTCTCCAACAGTCCAGGCAGCTGCTCGTTCATTGCTTAGTGCTTGACGCTTAGCAGCTGTGGTTGTGCCCGAGAGCTGCCTGCTCAGCTCCTCGTCGCTCCAGCCTCTAGGACAGGGGTTAGTGAACTATGGCCTCATGGGCCAAATAAAACCTCAGGCAGTTTTTGTAAAGTTTCACTGGAACCCACCTAATAGAAACAAATATCTGTTGTCTCTGGCTGCTCTGCTGAGGGCAGAGGTAAATAGTTGTAATAGAGGCCTTACGGCCCCCCACGCTGAAAATACTCTGGCCCTTTACAGGAAGTTTGGTGACCCCTGCTCTAGGACCCCTGCTTTGCTGACCCCCTTGAATAAAGGCTAAATTCAAGAGTACTTGAAAATGAGGAAATAGTGAGCAGACACAATAGACTGAAGTTCAAAAGGACTCCACCCATTTAAAAAAACAAAAAGATAACATTTGATGGTTCATTCAAATATGGCGCACAGCCCAAATTGGTTCCATATGCTCTTGGACTAGAAACTTGTGTGGAGTCCGTTGGCGAGTGTGTCTTTACCTAGGACTGATCAACTTTTTTCTTTTATGGACTGAACTTTTTGGTGTTCCATCTTCTTCATCTTTGTCTAGCCCCAGTTGTCAAAGATTTCCCTTATATTTTCTTCTACATGTTTTATAGTTTTACCAATATTACATTTAGGTTTATGATCTACTTTGAGTTAATTTTTTTTTTTGAAGTGTGAGGATTATGTTTTTGGTGTATTTGGTTTTGGGGGCATAGGGTTATATGTTCAGTCGTTCCAGGACCATTTGTTGAAAGGACTTTGTTTTCCTCTGAATTTCTTTTGCATTTTTGTCAAGAGTCCATTAGCCGTTTTTGTATGGGTCTATGTCTGGACTTTGTATTCTCTTCCACTGATCTGTGAGTCTCTCCTGTTACCAGTACCACATCATCAAAGTTATGGTAGCTTGTATCCATCTTAAAAACCTGTTAGTGTGACTCCTCTCACTTTATTCTGCCTTTTCAAAATTATTTTGACTTGTCCATCAATTTTGCCTCTCCATCTAAATTTTAGAATGAGCCTATTTATACAAAAGCACTACTGGGACTTTGATTGGAATTACATTAAATCTATAGATAAATTTGGGGAGAATTCACATATGATAGTGAGTCTTCTAAACCGTCATGTGTCTTGTCTCTCCGTTTATTTGCATCTGGGGCTTCCGTCAGTGGTTTCGTGGTCTCAGCATACAGATCCTGTACAAGTTTTGTTGAACTTACAGCTAAGTATTTTATTTTCTTGGAGCTACAGTAAATGGTATTGTTTTTCTAATTTTGGTTACCAGTTGTTCATTCCTGTATATAGAAATACAAATGATTTTTGTGCGTTGACCTTGTATTTTGTGATGCAACCAAAGCAGTATGTGGGGGGACATTTATAGTACTAAATGTCTGTTAGATAAAAGGTGTTGAATCAATAACTTCAGCTTCCACTTTAAGAAATTAGAAAAAGAAGGGCACCTGGGTGGCTCAGTGATTAGGCGTCTGCCTTTTGCTCAGGTCATGATCCCAGGGTCCTAGATCAAGCCCTGCATCAGGGTCCCTGCTAGGCGGGAAGGCTGCTTCTCCCTCTCTCACTCCCCCTGCTTGTATTCCCTCTCGCTATCTGCCAAATAAATAAATAAAATCTTAAAAAAAAAAAAAAAAGAAATTAGAGGAAGAAGACCAAATAAAAGTATAAGCAAAAGAAGGGACAGAACAAGGGTGGAACAGAAATCTATGACACTGGAGAAAGAAAGATAATGGAGAAAATTTAATTAGACCAAAAGCTGAGTCTTTGAGAAGCTCAAAAAAAAAAAAATCATAAACCTCTTAACTAGATTGATCTGGAGAAAAAGAAGAAACAAATGGCCATTGTCAGGAATGAAAGAGGTACAAACCAGTATAGTCTATAGATAGTAAAACAACAGAATATTACAAGCAATTTATAATAAATTGGACAATTTAGATGAACACAAATTCCTTGGAAGATCCAAGTTATTTTAGTTCATTCAAGAAGAAATAGAAACCTAAATAGCCCTACTTATGAAAGAAATTGAATTTGTAAGAAGAAATTGAATTTAAAGAATTTGAATTTAAAATATCAATTTAAAATTCAAGAAATTGGGGGCGCCTGGGTGGCTCAGTGGGTTAAGCCGCTGCCTTCGGCTCAGGTCATGATCTCAGGGTCCTGGGATCGAGCCCCGCATCGGGCTCTCTGCTCGGCACTTTCTTTCTTTCTCTTTCTCTCTCTCTCTCTCTCTTTCTTTCTTTCTTTCTCTTTCTTCCTTTCTTTCTTCCTCTTTCTTCCTTTCTTTCTTCATCCTTTTTAAAAGATTTTTTATTTTTAAATAATCTTTACCCTCAACACAGGGCTCAAATTCACAACCCCGAGATCAAGAATTGCATGCTTTACCAACTGACCCAACTGGATGTTCTAGAGAGTTATTTTCTCACTGATGAGTCTAATAATGACAACAGAATTTATGTTTTGTTCTTTTTAAAATTTCATTTTCTTAATGCAGGGCAAACAAATTCTATCTCTACCCTCCTAGGTTTTTCAGCTATCCTGTGGATTACTTTGGTTTAATACGGATTAACAGGAGGAAAGCATGCACATTTATTTAATATAAGTTTTCTGCGACATGGGAACCCTGATAAGGGTTCCATAATAATGAAGACCCAGAGAAGTGACAAAACCTACATGTTTTGACACCAGGTTGAACAAAGAGAGACAACTGTAGATAAGTCACTAAAACATAGGGGAGGCTAAGGGAAGATAATTATTTTAATAATGTCTGTTTGTACAGAACTTTCTCAACTTCAAATTCCTGCCCTTGATGATAAGAAATATTAAAAGTCTTAGGAACCAAAATGCAGCTCTCTGAACGGGTTTTCCCCGGGACCACATCTGCCCTCCAGGTGACTATCAAGATCTCCACGGGTGTCAGAGCTGTTGAAGGCAGTTCAGAATGTCCTGGATCCTGCTGAGAAATGTCTGCCACCTTAAGCTTCTATCTCAACATTTGAGGCAGGAGGCTGCAAACCAAAACTCAAAAGAAGCACTTCTTCTTCTTCTTCTTTTGAAATATTAAGTACAATGTCTTGCATATAGCAGACATTTAGTATTGTTTTTAAAGATTTTATTTATTTGAGAGAGAATGAGAGAGAGCACAAGAGCAGGGAAGGTCAGCGGGAGAAGCAGACTCCCTGCTGGGCAGGGAGCCTGATGTGGGACTTGATCCCGGGACTCCAGAATCATGACCTGAGCTAAAGGCAGACACTTAACCAACTGAGCCACCCAGACATCCCAAAAGAAGCACTCCTGAAGGAATCCATAAAGTCCACACATCTACTTCTGTCAGGAAGGCCAAGAAGCAAGTCTTCAAGGAACTCTGAGTCCAGCTGGGAAGATGACACAGCACTGAATGTGCCAAATGACAACGTGGCGATGGGTACAAATATGGTACAATACATTTGTCAAAGCAGCACGTATGCATGTGGAGTTCAAATTAATGAAAGAAATTACTGTTGAAGAGAAGCTTCTTTGAAGACAGTGAGCTGGGTCTAAAAGGCTGGTAGAAGTTTAACGGAGAGGGAGTGATTTGTTGTTTTGCTTTTTGGCTAGAAGGTGAAGGAGAGAATGGCAGTAGAGTCATGCTGGCTGGAGGTCATCTGCAAGTGACTCAGGTCTGTATCTCGGGGTTATCTGCATGCCAAGGAGTTATAAAACCAGACTCAGAGAGCGCTTGTGGTGTTGCCTATAATTGCATGAATTGTGATAAGGAAGAGGTACTCTGGAATTAGGATTGGCCAACCGGGGTGATGACATCTCTGGTCATAAATAGTGGAGGAGAAGCAGGAAGCCCGGCATTTCCAAGGAGAACGGTCAGTGTCATCTAAACATAAAATGAATGTGAGCGTGCCTGTCTGGAATATGCAGAGGGGCCTCTCCCCATCCCAGCCCCTCTATAGTCAGAGTGATCTGTGGGTACCTCTCCCGTCCTGAACCTTGTGCTCTAGGTATGTTCCCAGACACATGACACAGAGAGAGGGTGGGGGGCAGCAAGGTTGAGCTGAATTCTTTGCCCAGCGGAGAGGCCCCTGGGACACAGCCTGGGTAGCTTCTGGCAAGGTGGGACCATCAGCCATGTTACACCACCTGGTCTCTTTCCAGAACGTTCTCTCGCATCCTTCAGTTCATAAGTTAAACCCCTCTCTTTCTGGGAAAAAGGTGAGGTGGTTATTTTTCACTTTCAGAAATCCTCAAGAAACAAAACCAACATTTAAGGACCAGAGGGGAAACAGAACAGATGGTCTGCCAGCTCTCTCTTGCTTAGCACTCAGAGTGGGCCAGTCCTGCAGGAGGCTTGCGAGCCCTTGTTGGACCCCACTATCCAGGATCCTTTGCCTATTCATTTAGTAGATACCAGTGTAGGGAACTGAGAGGTAGGGAGCAAACAGCACAGCCCCCACAGCCCAGAAAGCCTCTGCTCTCCGAGCTCATCATGTACTTCCACACTGGCTCAGCTCCTGAGTTCTTCCTACCCAACGTGGTCAGAGGCCTAGGATCATCTAGATTCTTCCTTCTCTTTTGCACTCCTTCTCCTCATCACCCTCCTCTCTCCCTCATCATCTAACTCATCTCACACTCTCCATCTCACATACGCATGGGTGCTGGTTATGGTGGCTCTCCTTGTGTGCGAGTCTGGATGTCTCCAGAGTGTTAAATTTAACAAAAGATAAATAAAATTTCTCAAATTGGTCCCATTGGCTCTGTTTGGAACCCAGAAGCTCCCTGAGTCTTTACTGCCTCGGTGCCTCCCGCCCTTGCCCTGCTCAGCCCCCAGCCTCCGTCTTCCCCTACCAGCCAACCTTTGAATGACCAATGTTCTTCCCTCCATACTGAATGTACATGGCGGTAAGGGTCCCCTCCTTCTACACAATGATTTAAACTGTTTTCAACTCAAGTTGCTGTGAGATGTAGGGCAAGGTTAAGCCCTCTGCCAGGCACGAGTTCCCCCGGGGACCAGGGCTCGGGGGCCCGGCTCTGGTCCCAGTCCAGTGGCCCCAAGGTGTAAAGAGGAGCCATACCTGTGCTCCAGGTCCTTCAGAATGACAGGCATAAACATGCCACCAATCCTCGCCAGTGCTTTCACTTTCAAAGGGCTCTGAAGACTATTACCATCTTGTTTGAACCTCAAAACAGACTCATGGGGAAGTCAGGGCATGTTTTTGGTTCTTACCCTCTGCGCATTTTCGGTAAGGCATGAAATGCTCGTCTCCCCCCAGAGGAAGGATGACACACGTCTGCTTCCAGCAAATAAACGACCTCCTCTCAACTGACTGACTTGTCTGAAACACGGTTTCAGTGCCAAAGCAAATAGAAAGAGAAGCCTTGTAGGAAAAAGGAAAGCAGACACAAATCTCAGCTCACTAGGATGTATTTATTTTTTTTAATTTATTTTTTATTTTTTGTTTTTTTGAGATTTTATTTATTTATTTGACAGAGACAGCCAGCCAGAGCTGGAAAACAAGCGGGGGAGTGGGAGAGAGAGAAGCAGGCTCTCTGCGGAGTAGGGAGCCCGATGCAGGGCTCCATCCCAGGACCCTGGGATCATGACCTGAGCTGAAGGCAGATGCCCAACGACTGAGCCACCC